CAGCCTTGATGCTCCCACCTTCCCTCACCTGTTTACACATGATATAGCTGCACTGTAGCATGCTAAAGTCTTCCATCAATAGGAGTGCAACACACCCTCCTAGTGCAGCTGACTTCCTCTATACTGTAGAGCACTATTATCACCTTAAGATTAGGCAATAAAAATGTACTAGAAGTGTGGAGGGTGGGTGGGAAGTGTGAGAGGAGGTAAGTATCTACCTCATTGTAGGAAAATGTTAACTTCCAATACAATACCTTATCTCTGCTTATGTAATAGCTAGAATCCCACAGTGAAATGGAGCAGGGACTGGTGCAAAAGTTACCTAGATGATCCATTTTCTGAAGGCATCTGAAAAAAACCTATAAAGTGTGATACCCTAATGTATGGTGTCACACTCCATCTGCAACAGGTATACTCTTTGCCCATTGTAAATATATGTGTCTTTAAATCTGGAGAAAAGGACACATGTCAAATTTGTAATTGGACGTGCCAAATGGTGTAGAGTGGCTAGGATGCACAAGACAATATCTGGTGGGTTGACTTCAGTCCAAAACCAGATGGTATTGGGTATTTATCTTCTGGTACTTGGTAGGAGGAGGGTCTCAACTGTTTTCACCTCAAGACTAGAAAGTAGAATGGAAAACAACTTCCATTCTGCCATCCCAGCCAGGGTATGTGTGCAGACCCAGAATACAACCAACACTAGGCCACCTGGGAACCTGACATGTGGATAACAGTAGGAAAGGGGAATGTAATGTGGTGGGTCAACTCCAGTCCAAAACCAGGCAGCATTAGGAATTTTTGTCCATTTAGTGGTAGTAAAAGGGCCCCTATCAATCATGTGTGAGGAATTATGTCCGCTGGTCCTATGCCGATCCAACACCAAACTGCCGAGAAACCAACATCCAGGCAGCAGTAGGATGATAGAAAGCCAGCCAGAGGAGTGAAATGAATGTGATGGATTCAAACAGTTCAAAACCAGGCAGCATCAGGTATTTTTCTTCAAGTCTGTGGTAGGAGGCGAGCACTCACCAACAGCACACCACCGCCCTACTCCCGACTGAGTGGAATTGGTCACAGTCGGGATGAAGCCTCCATGGTCTACCACCCTAGCAACTAGGAGATGGAATGTGGCAAGGACACCCATACTCCACTGGGAGAGGAAGGGAACAACAAGGTGAAGAGTATGAAGGAACACAAGGCCATAAGACAGTGCAATGGGTGACCACAAAAACCCTATTTTGAAAAGCAGGCTGGTCCTAATTTATTCAATCAGGATAGGAGGGATGGACAGCGATGAAGCAAAACACCACGAGTCAACCTCTAGCAGTCTTGTAGAACATCCCATCTCTTCAGTGTAGACATGGCCTTATGTTGATGTATACCTGGACTGGTACTACTTGCTACAGCATGGGATCCAAGAAATGAGAAAATAGCCACTGTTACGGTAAGAAAAAAAACTACCTCACAGTCGAAATGAGGCATGGAGGATAGTGACGAGCGGCAAGCAATAACCAAATGATGTAAGTAGTGGGCTATAAAAGTGTGAGGTGTAATACACATGCCAGCCTGAACAATCTAATGACTTGGAAAATGAGATGGGAATCCTCAGATAACAATGCATAAGCACGCTGAATAAGTTGATGAATCCATCCAGTAAGGGTGATAGGAGAAACATCATCGGTAGAGGAAATATTCTATGGTATACATAGGCAGGAATAGGATCCAAGGAAGGAAGCAGTGCAGGCATCATAACAGCATAGAGCATGTACTGTACAAAGAAGACAATCAGGATCAGCATGAGAATACAATTGAGAGATGGAAGAAATGGAAATAGGACTGAATATGATGTCCCCTTCACACACTGCTGACATTTTTGGAAAAAAAAACTATGATTCAGATAAAGGAGAACATAGGTAAGGTGATAAAGGATATGAGAGACGTCAATAGCGAAGATATCTGACCTACAATATCTACATGCAAAAAGGAGCAAGAAATATGTCTTTAGTGAAAGATGGTACACTGAACAAGTGGCCAAAGATTCAAATGGAGAAAGGATAAGAGCATGAAGGACTGAACACATTGAGATTTCAGTCAGGTAGGGGTATTGGACAGGATGGATGAATCAAACAAAAGGACAGGGAGAGAAAAATACGACAGGAGCAAGAGAAACAAAAAGCATTAGATAAGGCCACCCTATAGCCCACAATGGTGGATACTGATGAATCATTGTTGAAAAGCCAAATAAAGAAGACTGAAAGGAGGGAGGGTGAGAAACCATGTCGCAGAGAACAATGCTGGGAAAATACACCATTTCCTCTGGCAGACATTCAAGGAAGAAGAGCACACCGAACAAAACAGAAGAGAGGCTACCCTGTGTAGAGAGTCTGGATTGTGTTGCAAGGTGCTGAACAAAATCCATGCATGAAGCTGGTTGTGATGACAGCAGGATAAAATATGGCAGGCTGAGGTTGATAGAGAAGGGATCAGTAAAGTGAAAGAGGTAAGGGAAAGAATGACTGAAGGAGGAGTAGGATCAGAAACCATGGTTGAGCAGGCCAGAATGGGGTAATTAGAATGACTCACACAGTGGGTTGGATCATGGAAAGAATATGGATAGGAAGATAGCAATAAAGGTCAAAATTGGTCTAATCCTGACTGAAGGCATCCACCACCAAAGCTAAAAGATGTGGAACCAGAGACCAGAAGAACTGCAATAAGTTCCAATAGGGTGATGCAGAGGGAAATTTTGACCTGAGAATTTATATATGCTCCCCATCCCATAAGAGAAGCATCTGTGAACATGTGCATATCAAGAGAGAAGGAGAGGATTTGACTTTCAAGAGTTCCAACAACCTCAAACAAAGAGAAGAAGGCTGAGCCCTGCTGTGAAAGGTGTTGAAAAAGACCCCCAAATGGATCAGATACTGTGTGGGGTTGAGATAGGGCTTCTCCAGCTTGACAAGCCATCCCACACAAGCAGCCTCCTTTAGGAGGAAATGCATATGAGTGAGAGAGGCTTGTTGGGATGGAGCTAAAAGAAGCCAGTCGTCTATATAATGATAGAACTGCAAACTGTGGTTATGAAGATGTAAGATGCTAATGCCAGACCAAGAGGTAGAGTGAGGAATTGGAAAATTTGACTTCTGTGAACAAAACAAAGGTAACATCTAGAGGTTGGAGAGATAGGGATATGAAGATATGCATCCAAGACATCAATTTTCATCATCCAGAGACCTGGAGCGAATGCCCACCGAAGTGTGAGAAAAGACTGCATGGTGAACTGAGGAGCATTGATGAAGAAGTTGAGGATGGATAGATCAATGACAGGATGCCAATCCCCAGTCTCTTTGGGAACACGAACAACTGAGAATAGAACCCCCAGAGAAGGGTGGTGTACTTGTAGGATAGCATTTTTGTGTAAAGATCTCAAATTGCTTCTGATAGATTCTGGCATGAAATGGGATCCCATGGAGGAAGGAAGAAGCAGGAAGGCAAGACACAAGAATTGAAGCATGAAAGGGTTTGAAAAGATGGGAAACCAAGGAGGGAAGGAAGGAATGTTGACATGCAGCCTTCACCCTAGAGTCCAATGTATTAGGAAGATCCTCAAATACAGACTAGTGCAAAAACAGAAGCCAAATAGAACTCTCTTAAATAGAAAGCAGGAAAAGCATGCACGAGAAGAGGGTGTCCCTTCCAAGAAGATCCCAATAACAAAAGAGCCATGCTTGAAGGGATAAGGCTGAGGAAGATAAGCATATCAATGTGGAAGAGAAGAGTACATGTATCCACTGAAAACCCCTTAGGGAAATGGTGGATAGCCTTGGATAGGAGGTGAATGGAAGAAAGAGTAAGCTGAAGACGTGGAAACTAGGCTGGGGAAAATCTCAATGAAGTCTCCGAATCAGAACTCAGTGCTTGAATCAAAGACTCCAAGGTCTGCGAGTCCAAATATGGAAAAGTTGACCTATAATAAACCAAAGCATAAAAGTCAAATAAACGTGAAGGATGAGTCTGCTGGCACCCAAACATAATTGGACTAAAAATTGATCAGCATGGATTCAAATATCAGAAGAGGTGGGAGAAAACCGAATAATCCAACGAAGGTGCAGAATGTAGAAGGTAGAGGGAATAATTATAAGACACAAGGAAAAGAGACAAAAGATAACATACCTGAGAAATCATGTTCAAAAGATTGGACAAAGGAGAAGGTAAATCCAAAGAAGTAGCATGGGACTGCACTGTGAAGGAAGGAGGTGGGAAAAAGCTGTCCAGATCCTCTTTGTCCTGACCAGATTCACCCTGGAACATAGCTGGCCTCATTTCTGGAGAAATAGCAGACTGTATGATAGTTTCCAATTCGCGACGTTCCACGGCCAAAACCTCAGCAGAAAGTGTGAATCCCAAAGCCACAGTAATAGTAGGTGGATCGGCATTGGCCAGATTTACTACTAAAGTTGTTGTAGTGACATTAAAGTGAGAGTTCATGATGTGGAAATTAAAACGAAAATATTCCACAAAAAAACCAAGTATGCAGAAATGAAATGACAACAAATTAAGCTGTCAAAATACAATAAAGTTAACTGAAGTTGCACACAGGAATGAGAAATGCAGAGCAAATACTGAGTGCAACTACACACTGGAATGCCAAATCTAACAGTGATTATAATGCTCTACAGTATACAGGGAGTCAGCTGCACTAAGAGGGTTATTGCATGCTACAGCACAGTTGTGTCACATGTAAATATGTGAGGGTGGTGTGTGGTGAGCAAAAATTGCACACACAGAAGGGCAGCAAAAGTCGAGAAAATCTATTATGTGAGAGGAGGTAAACTACTGTATAGCAAATTATAAAAACTAACAGGCAACAGCTATCTAAAGAAACAAATACAATTATGTACCTAACAGGTTATTTCCTTGTTTTAACATATAAGGTTTAATGGACTTTAAAAACTGTATTTTTCAACCAAAAAACAGTGCTCATAAATAAATCTTACTTTCATAAGAACTGTACTCTTCATTGCTGTCAACATCCTCACTAGTGTCTTCTTCCCCCCCTGTCTCTGTAAGAGACTCTGTAGAGGATCTTTCATCATCTGTTGTCTCGCTGTCTGATAAAAGATCTCTAGAATATCTTCTTTGCCAGGTCTTTGCAAGTTTTCGAGTTTCATCAGCTGTAAGTGACCTCTCAAGCTCTTCAGCATATGCCTCTTCCTCTTCTTCAGACTCAGTGTCTGTACTACAGATAGTAAATGCAAAATGCAGAGCTTAAGTCCCAAGTACTTAACCCTAATTCTATACAGTATCATTTAATACAGGGATAAGAAGATATGTTCAGATATATATAAGTACAATTGTGAATGGATTAATTTATTTATCTACAACTGTCTCACAATAGTCTTACAAAATTTTTTTATAACACCTACTGTTTTAAGTCATGATTTTCTAGATACTAAGTTAATGAAAAGCGAAATTACACTTTCTTCTACCATGTTAGCGCTTCTTTATCCAACAATGTTAACGTTTGAGTATAATTTTACACTTTCAAATTTCTGAAAATTCCATCAATGATATCCTGTGGTGAAAAAAATTGGTTTAGCTTCAAAAATTAGTATCAAAATCTAGAAAATGTTTCTCGGTGTTTAAATACTTTGCTTGTAAGGGCTCATGTGTATGTTGATAATCCTATTTGTCTTTTAAAAACCTAGAGGATGTAACACACAAGAAATAGAAATTCTAAAAAATATTTATGACAACTAAAGTTTTATCCACACATTCTAATTAAATATATATATATATATATATATTAATTCTGCTGAGTTTCACTCTCAGACAAAAATGTGCTTTTGTTTTTGTAAAGTTAATTCTAAACAAATAGAATATGCCATGCATATGGTGTAAAATGCAATAATAGAAAGTTAAGAGCATAGAAATAAAACGTATAAATATATATCCCGGTGCAATTTTATGTGTATGTGTGTGTCAATATATGCAGTAGTAATTACCACTCAAAATACACTTTACATCAGGATTTCAATCCTTTAGTGTGTATGTTTTACTAATTGTTAGCCAGTGGCTAGGGAACATTCTGTAATTTTAATTGGACAAAAGAAAGTAGATGTACCTTCCATCATGAGGGTAGCATCAGTGTAAAATCTGTATATGAGAGTGAGAATGACTTTTGACATTTTTGGGGACAATCGTGCAAACCTTCATGTGTAAAAAACATCATAGGCATGAAGTTAATGATATATTCTATCTCTTCAGAGCTTACCTTAAATCTGAGAATTCATCATCACTAGTAGCTATTTCTTGAGATGGACCGAAGTTCTTCTGTGTTAATTCCTCCTCTTCTAGCTCACTTGTTAGAAGTTCTTCTTCAGAAAGCTCCAAGCTGTTCTCATATTCTGCCCGTTCAGGTGTTTTATCTCTCATATCAATGCTACTTGCAGGCTGTGGTAACAAGTGTGGAGTTGCTAGTACAGTTTCTGATGGGCTATTTCCAAGTACAGCTATATCAGGATGAACTATATTCTCTGCAAAAGCTGGAGTTACTTTAGGTTCTTTATGAGGTGGTGGCTCTCGCTCCTGAATGGGAGAAACTGGATGCTGTTCTTTCTGTGGACTCTTTCCCAACAAGTTGGGAGCTGAGCTATCTGCTAAAAAGGCTTGTTTACGTTTCATCATTTCCTGCCATCTACGATCTGGTTTAGGCATACGATAATGTGACCAACAATAAAATCTTCCTACAAAAACACAGAATAAATTAGGTAATTTAATACTTACACCCTCACATTCATTCAGCAAAATATAAAATGAGAAAAAAAAATGAAAGTACTAGAATTTTTATTTTTAACCTTTATATCAGCACAAACCAGTAATGAAAATAATTTATAATATATAAATATGTTTATGTATACATCATGCAGCACAAAGCAAATAGTACAGGTTTTAAAGGAGTTACTTTCAGTGATAGTGTCCAAAAAAAGTATTGTATAATATCATGTTTCTCTACATTTAACTCCAAGAATGCTTCTAAAAAAACATTTAATGCAGATTACTGAAGAAAAACGATAGAAAGGGTTCTCACAGCTTAAACCCACAATATTCTGATCTGATTTGCCATTCTTCAGCTGCTGCTGGTTGTGGATGTGGTATAGTCCACAATACCAATTACAAAGTTAAGAGAACTTAAAATTCAGACAGTTGATCATACTCATCCTTTTAATTACATGATTATACTACCCTCTTATAATGCTGCAACAATTACAGAAGCTACTCTGCAAATTGACTAACTTTTATCTTTATATACATACATAGAGATATGTGTGTGTGTGTGTAAACATATGTACACATGTATAATACAAGCAGTTAACCCCATGTGCACAGGTGGTGCCATGACCTTTTTCAGAGTGCCATTCAATATTTGATGTTATAGTTATCAACTATTCATTTTATCCTACATTGCTCATTTAGCAGCACTTCATGGTAAAGGAGAGTAAACACCAGAAGATACAGATATACTGACAAAAACTGTAGATATGCATTTCAGAAGTTCTAGAGGTTATGCAATGTGCAAACTATACAATGAACAAAAGTATTTTTACTCTTCACATGAACATCACTGTGCCCTCCAACTTCTAAGTGTTTATGACAGATTGTCGTCAATTCACAGACATATCTTCAGTATAAATACTTTTGTAACACATTTGATTTTTTGTATACAACAGACTTGTACATTTTATTGTAAGCTTACCAATTCAGAAATATAGCCAGCATTCCTTCTCCAATCGATTTTTTTTTGTGCAATTCAGATAATGCTGTATTTTTTTTAAATATATATAAAAACACACATACACACAGAAGTGAACATTATGTGTATGTATGTGGTACAGAGGATTAGTAATATACACTTGAGTCTATGAGAGAATAATTTATGCATGTCAGTATGATGGCTTATTTATGTGAAGTTCAAAAATTTGAATATCAGAATTTAAAAAAATAATTCTAACAACTGAAATGACAGTTTTTTCAGGGCAACAAATTAGG